TTTTGCTTTTAGATATACAGTTTCAACATGGATCCAGATGTTTTTCTTTTCTTAGTGAGTACACGAGCTGGTGGTTTAGGCATTAATTTGACAGCGGCGGATACGGTTATCATTTATGACAGTGATTGGGTAAGAAGTATAGCAATATACTGACTATATGTTCTGAAGTTTTTATCCTTTATTACATATATTACAATTGCATTTAAATGCCTATTTGCAGGTAGGAACTTTTCATCAAGTTTTCTGCCTATAAAAATAAGATACTTTCAGAGTATTAAATAATTTTGAGGGCTGGAGAGATGGCTCAGGTTAAAAGCACTGACTGCTCTTCCAGAGGTCCTGAGTTCCATTCCCAGTAACCACATGGTGACTCACAACCATCTGTAATGAGATCTGGGGCCCTCTTCTTGCCAGCAAGCATACACACAGACAGAACACTGTATACATAATAAATAAATCTTTAAAAATAATTTTTTTTGAAACACATTCAGTGTGTGTGTGTGTGTAAGTCAGTAAGAGGAGAGAGAGAAAGACAAGTAGCTATCAGAGAACGACATATAGGAGTTAGTTCACCATGTGAATCCTGTAGCATGAATAATAAAGTCCCAGAGACAGATACTGGGGTTCAACATAGTGAGCTCTGCTTCTCTTTTAGACAGACTCAATCTTACGTAGTCCAGGGTGACCTTGAATTCACAGAGATCCTAATTAAAAGAATGCACCACCACTCCCTGGCCTGTAAAGGATGACTTTTGGCTGTTTTGCTTTCTGATTTCAGGCAAGCTTTATTTATTTAAACACAAATACTATCCCACTATACCTGAGGATTAAACTGAGGTTTTTAGGTTTTCCCCATTGAGCCATCTCTCTGTAACCTGTGGGAGCATTTACATAGAAATTTGTACACCTGTTCTGTCTGAGTGGTAACTGATGCAGTCCTTCTGGAATTTAAAGTGCATCTAAAAATCACTTCAAAGTTTATCATCTACTTGACTGTTTTACCAAGATTTCATAAGTTTACGTTTTTATTTTTAAGTTTTTTTAAGACAGAAATTCTCTGTATCTCTGGCTGTCCTGGAACTCACTCAGGCTGGCCTTGAACTCAGAGATCCACCTGCCTCTGCTCCCATAGTGCTGTGGTTAAAGGTGTGCGCTACAACTGCCCCACAAGTTTAAGTTAATTTTAACATGATTCTGCTAACTGTACCTTTCTTTTCATCTTTAAGAATCCCCAGTCTGATCTCCAGGCCCAAGATAGATGCCATAGGATTGGTCAGACAAAGCCAGTTGTTGTATATCGCCTTGTAACTGCAAATACTATTGATCAGAAAATTGTGGAAAGAGCAGCTGCTAAGAGAAAACTGGAGAAGCTTATCATCCATAAAAGTAAATGGTTTTTAACTTGTTTATAATAATTTTATTATTTTTGTGTATATGTGTATTGCCTGCATGTATGTCTGTGCCCCATGTGCAAGCTTAATGCTTAGGGATACCAGACAAGGGTGTTGACCCACCTGAACCTGAAGTACAGAGGGTTGTGAGCCTCTATGTAGGTGCTGGGAACTGAAACCAGGTCCCCTGTAAAAGTAGACAGTGCTCTAAACGTGAGCCATCTCTCCAGCCCTGTAAGCGCTATTACAGGTAACATTGCATGTAAGTGATGTTTTTGTGTGTTAAGAATTTCCGTTTTTGTTACTTTCTAAAGAAAACTAATACAGCTTGATGACACAGGATTTAAATGTGTGATAGGGGATTTGGAGCTACTGACAGCATACATTGAGTTGCTGTTCATAGACAGAGACTCAGGGATTAGATAACTATTAAGGGAAAGGGTCAAGAATAATGAACCTTTGGGAGTTCATTGGTATAATGTCCCCAAATCTGTCATATAAAACTTAACATAATGCTTTGCATATTTCTGGTAAGATATTTGTTTACCAAAACCTTTAAAACTTAAGACCTTTCAAGATGCTGAATATTAGATGCCAATGGTTTTCATAGTAGTAATATCAAATATCAAATTCCATTTAGTGTAGAATAGATTCTTTGGAAGGGGAAAATGAGTAAGGAGCTTCATATCTTATTTTCCAAGATTTCTTGGGAAGCCCCCCCCCCTTTTTTTTGGAATGTTTCAAGACAGTGTTTCTCTGTGTATCCCTGACTGACTGTGCTGGAATTCACTTATATGTACCAAGCTTAAACTAATTTCTACCTGCCTCTGCCTCTCAAGTGATAGGAAGGATTAAAGGTGTGCACCACCACTGTCTGCCCAAGGATAGTTCTATTTTTACTCATGTAACATAAAATTTTATTAAGTAGCACAGTGGCTACCTAAGGAAAAATTGAACTTAGGATTTCAATTTTTTTTTTTTTATTTT